CATGTGTTGCCATGTCATCGTTTTAAATTTGTCGTGCCCCGCCTTTTCTTCATCTTCTCACCATCCTCCTCTCCCCGCCTCTGCACTCCATGTGGCCGCCTGCCGCTTCCTCGCTCCTTTGGACACATCACCTCCTCGGCTCATGCCCGGACCTTGGCATCGCTCGGACGTGCGCATGTTTTCTCGAGGGGAACCATCGAGGAGCATTTCGAACCACCTTGCGAAACATACACGCGCGATATTGAAACATGCCCAGGGAATGGACGTCCGAACGATGGTCAGGGAACCTCACCCCCTTGGCTGGATTTTGTTCTTCCGCGGGGAGTCCCTCTTCGTGGTGACCCGTTAAATTTTGGACCACTGGTGGCGCGTGGATCGTTTTCCTTTGCTCGTGCGTGCATTGCTACTGGAACCTCTGAACTCTTCTGATTTGAATATATCTCGTACTTGAGCGCACTTGGTACTAGCGTGTACCAGCGTGCAGCTAATACTAGAGTGCGCTTGGTCTTAAAACGCAGCACGAACGGGGGGTAATCATAATCAAGTGGGTGAACAAATCGAACCACAGGAGAACAAGTTATGTCAGCGCAAGTACTAGCACTTCGTTAATTCAACTTCTTTTTAGTGCTGCTGTATTGCACTTGCAATCTGGGTTTTCTCGCTTTTCCTCCTCTGGTTGCGCTGGGGGGTGAGGTGGAGCCCACACGCGAGCATCCCCGCGCATGAGAGTTCATTCTTTTTCCGAAACTTGAGATGGGGGCAACCCCGTGCCCGAACCCCTCGCTACTGATTTGTTTATTTTGTCCGCAGAGGCCTGACCCCTGGGTTATGCGGCGCGGCCCAGAAGATCTTTCCTTCCAGATGGGCCCCCATGGGTCCGGTCCTACGTTAGGGTCGGCTGGGTGCCTTCGGCACTCCTCATACGGTTCGTACGCCCAGAAGCAGGTCCACCTACGGCCCGAGTGGGTGCGTCCGCATGCTGCCCCCCGCCAACATAGGCGCACCACCCACGCGCTTCATGCTTCCATAAGAAGCTCCACCTACGGCCCGAGTGGGTGCGTCCGCATGCCGCACCCCTGCACATTTCGGCGCATCCCTCACACGCTGTATGTTCCCACAGGGAGCAATCCCTTTCACGATCGACTGATATAAGGCATCAACTCGTTGTGGGTTGCGGGCTCAGAGCTGCTGTGTCTCAAGTGCGGGGGTGGGGGGAGGAGGCGGCGGTTAAGCTCGTGTCCGTCTGCAAGCCCCCTCCGGCACGGGTAAAGAGGTGCTCTCTCGTTTCTGCCGAGGTCTCGCGCCGAATCCCATCGTGCGCACGACAGAGATATGGCTGCGCCACGCGTCGGGCTTGAGCCCGCGAGCTGCCAGCAGACGATTCGTCCCTATGGACCTCCGGATTTTTCGGCATCGAATGATGATCAGACGTACGCCTTTTTCGCCCGAGTCCGCGATCGCGAGTCTTGTCGAGGCGAGAGCAGTGTTCAGTAGCTCGGCGTTCGAGGCCCGGTCTGCCATGAGATCTTCCGCCCTCTGGGCTGCTCATATCGGTTTACGAGGAGCTGTCTCATCTTTATCGAGCTCCAGCTTTGCCCCTGACTCTCCCTCCGCCCCGTGCCCTCCCTCCTCCTTTCTCCCTCCGTCCTCCCTCATCTGGGTTTCTCCCATTCTCTTTCTTCCTGTTACCGTCCCCCTTTGCTTCAGACAGGGTGCATAATAGCGCCTCCTCTCCCCATTCTGTCCACCCACCCCCTCTCCCAGGAAGGTGAACCCAAGCAGTTCCCCCCTAAGCTCCCCCGCCGTCGCTCCCTCGACCGCCCCCCCGCCTTTCGCTTACCCTCTCGTCCTTGCATTCCCCCCCCCTGCCAGGTCTCTTTACCTCCTAGCCGCAGGCCCCAAAAGGTGAACCCAAGCGGGCCTCCCTGTGCTGCCTCCTCGCGGCCCCCCCCCCCTGTCCCAAGCCCCTTTTCGCTCACATCCCCGCCTCGCCCCTCCCCCCACCTCTCCGTCCAGGTGGTTCCCTGAACATGTTTTAGCACAAAGGGGCTCGTAGGTTTTGGCATACAGGGGTTCCTAGCTAGCCATAGGGACTTCTCGATCTAAGACTGGTGCTGGCCTTGCCGGTGCATTTGCTGCTCATGCCAAGAGATTACCTGGCCATCAAGGCTGCGACCCTTGGCGCCCCTCCCGGCGGGCCAGGGGCCTCTGCCGGCTCTGTGGGCCAGTCGTGGGCTTGGTGCCCCGGCCTTCGAAAAGTGGCAACCGTCCTGAGCCCGCCACGCACAGAGGGGGAAGGCTTCTCAGAAGGGCCCCTGCTTCTTAGCAGGCGCGGGCCTTCTCTGTGGATGCAGGGGCGCCCTCTAAGGAGCAGCCTTCTTCCAAGAAGTTTTCCCCCCTCCCTCACCAGCCTCGAGCTTCTCCGTATCCCTAAGACTGACATGCCAAAAGGCGATGACAATCTTAGGGATGCGCCCTGAAAAACTAAGGGAATCCCTAAGATTGGCATTGTGTTGAGGCGATGCCCAGCTTAGGGATAGGGATATGTTCCAGGCTGGTAACTCCCCCTACCCCTTGTGCGCGCCGCCGAAGGAGGATGGCGCCCCTCCTGGAGGGCCCGAGGCCTCTGCCGACTCTGGTGTGCCGGGCGCCTCGGCCTGCCAACAGACTGGCGACCCTCGCCTCCCGGTGGGCCGGAGGCCTCTGCCGGCTCTGTGGGCCAGTCGTGGGCCAGACGCCCCAGCGCGTCGTTCGAAAAATGACGACCCTCACAAGAGTTTGCGCCGAGCGCGTTCCACTGCTCGCAGAGTGCCTGCTCGTCAGCGTCCGATCGAAGCACGTCCTGCCTCTCTGTGATGGATCGTAGTTCCCCCGCGGCGGCTCCAGGCCATTCGCGAGCAGCTGCTTTGCGAGGATAGTGGAACGCGCTTGTCCGAGCATGGCGCCCCTCCCGGTGGGCCCGATCCCTCTGCTGGCTCTGTGATCCCGCCGTGGGCCAGGCCCCTGGCCTTCGGGCAGTCCGCCCAGGACATCCCCGCAATTTGGGCACGAACGGACAATTGCCCCCCCCCTCCCTGGCTCAAGGGAGGAAAAACATCCAGACCAGACAATTGGCGTTTGCTACACGGCCCTGGGCGTCTACGAAACAGCCCTGCCCTGTTCGATTCCTTCTTTGAGCGCTTTTACTGAACGACTTCGCGTGTCGGGGTGGTTACTATCGGGGTGGATTTTCTGCCCTCCACTGGCGGCTCTTCCCGGGGGGTGTTCGAGCGCCACGGCTCCTGCGTCGCGCGATGATCGTGGGGCCCTTGCGGGCGAGGAGCCCGGACTGCCGAGCGCGCAGACCGCTCGAGGCGGCACCACGGCGCCGGGGCGCGGGCGGGCGCGTGCCCCCCCTGCCTGGCGGCCACCTCCCCGGGGTGGCCGAGGGGGGGCCCGCCCGCGAGGTCGCGGCGATCATAGAGCTCTCAGAAGAAAACGGAGTCCGATCCACCTGGCAGGCAAACCTGAGACATCCCCGCAGCCCGACCGCGAGTGGTCAAGGGTCATACCCCATGGCTTCTCCTCCTCGTGGTGCCTAGAAATGCCACGCCTGCTACGTCTGGTGTGAGTCTGTCTGAGCGTCGATGGATCCGAGTGTGATTGAACATGTGTGAGCGTGGCCTGGGTTACTCACAATGCGAGTGCGGGGTTGTGGGTGAGTCTGAGAGTGAGTGAGTCTGTGTGTGCGTGCCTGAGTGCCAGTCGCATTGTATAAGTCTGAGTGTATTGTGCGTGAGTGGGTCTATGTGGGAGTCCTTCTCGGTATGAGTGCGCCCGAGTCTGAGTATGGAGAGGAGGGGAGACGGGAGGCGAGGAGGAAAGGGAGGCGGTAGCGTTAAACTAATACTTTCATCTTACGATGTGGTGAACTATCTGATTGCGGCATCTAAAGCAAGCTCAGGGTTTTATCCGTTCTATTCGTTTACCCCCACACACGTAACGTGAGCAACCGCTCGGGGCGACGTTCAGAAGGTCTGGAACCCAACCGTTTTCATATTAGCAATATGTCTGCCCGCCGAGCTCTCTGACTTCCTCGAACAGTGCCTACACTTCGGGGTTCTTCCTCGGCTTCGTCCACGCAGTTGCTGGGCATCCCGGGCTTGCGCCACGCTGCGGCCCGTGCTTTCTCCCCGGGCGCCCCGTGGGCGCCCCCGCTCGCGTGGGGGGGCATGCCGAGACTGCGCCGCGCTGCCGCCCCGCGGCCGCCCCGCGGGCGCCCTGCTTGCTCGGGAGGTGCGCCCAGACTGCGCCGCGCTGCCGGCACGTGGCCGCCCCGCGAGCGCCCCGTGCGCTGTGTGTGCTGCGTGTGCTGAGGTTTCGTGGGCGCCCTTGCGCTCGGGGGGTGCGCGGAGCTTTTGCGCCGCGCTGCCGCCTCGTGGGCGCCCCGCAGGCGCCCCGTGCGCTTTCGGGGGGGTCTGCCGCGGTGGCGCCGCGGGGCCGCCTCGTGGGCGCCCTCGTGGGCGCCCCGTGCTCCTGAGCTTACGCGACGCACCTTTTCGCCACAGAGCTCACACCGCACGTATGTAACACAACGCAGCTTACATCAGCAAACCCCTCAGAGGGTCGATCTCGGCCGCAACGCTGGTTCCGGGCAGGCTGCGCGGTCCGGCGGAAGGGGACGAGGAGGGGAGAAGCAGGCAGACGACGACGAACGCCCAGGCGGGAGGCCAGGGCTGGCGGGGCGGGCGGGCAGGCAGAAGACGGACCAGGCGGAAACAGCAGGCAGGGAGCAGCGGGACACCCCCACAGTTTCCACTTCCAGTTCACGCCACCTAGCTCACACGACATCGCTTACGCCGTATAGCCCGTCACCGCATAACCTTCACCGCATAGATTTGACCTCCACGGTGCAATAACTCACTGTTTGGGGTCCACGCTGGCTAACAGTTGCTGTTCCCGTGTCTATCTGTTCCCTCTTCGCGCCCTTGCCCTCTGGATTCCTCCTCGCGGGGCTGCAGGAGACGTACGACGTGTCGCTCATTGTGTCACAAGCTGTGGTCACGCTGTGTGGGAAGCAGATGAGAAGTAAGAGCCGGCTGATCGACAATGTCATGATCCGAGGTTCTTCCTGATGCGCTTTCATTGCCGAGCGGGGTCGAATCAAATTTGACATTTTGGAATGGCAGAATCGCAAGGCCTCTGAATCGAGTAGTTCGGAAATTGTAGCACGTAGCCTCCAATGGGCTGCGCGGTGTGAGTACCATTGTGCTGATGCAGCCAAAGGCGCTCCAGGAGCCTCTACTTTGGTTTGCTGGCGTCAGCGCGGCTGACTATCAGCGATTGCATTCGATTACTGCGGCTTCGCCTGCGGCTGCTCGTCCTCGTCGTCTTCCTCGTCATCGTTGTGCCTCCTCCTCCTTCTCCGCCTCATTTCCTCCTGCTAGGGGCTGATCGTCCATGTATTTCGGCCATTGAAGAGTTTCTTTTGCTCATGCCGCACTCGTCTACCTCTCGGTGGTGCCTCTTCGCGCAATACCTTCAAGAGAGCAATGGGGACGGTAACACCAAATAAGTTGTATTGTTCTGTCGCTCAGTTTCGAACGAAAAGGTTGGGTTGCATGTTTGTTTACTTTGTGGCTCAGGTGAACTTTCTTGCCGTCCAGAGATTTATATCAGCCAGCTTGCTCGGGTCTGCTTGGAGCGAGCGCCATGATTAGCCATGCTTGCTCCGGGCTTTCGGTCCATGTTAGCTGCCGTGCGATCCCTTAGCCACATTTAGTTTGCGCACTTATTTGGGAGGCCTCATATTTCCATGTTTTGCAACTTCTTCAGTCGACGGACGGGCTCATCGTACACTTCGCACAAATCCCTCTCATAATGATTTCGCAGAGGTGGTCGGCTGAACACATCGCTCGCTCCGGTGTGCTCGAATCCTTATCCTGGCAGATCTGCTGGGGCGATCACTCAACAAGGCAGTCGCACTCGACACTTTGCCCTGCAGATCGAAGAGGAATCGAGGCCCGTATAACAATCCCTCCCAGCTGCAAAGCGCAGGAACACATGTTCTCTTAGACGGCAAACGGAAACAATTACGCAACGCCCCTCCCCCTTGGCCCCCGAAAGCTCGACATTCGCAGCTGAGCCCCAGATTGCCCAGAAGTGAAGCTTCTGGTGCCGAACGCCCAGCATTGCCCTCGGGGGAAGGGGGGGGTTGTTCCAGCAGCGCTGCGTGGTTGTTCCTGACACGTTCCCGAGGTCCGTCTCGCACGCCTCTCCTCACTGTGCCGAGCGAGGGCTGGCGGACCTGCTCTCTCGCTGCAGGTCTGCCGGGGCGACCAGGGGGAGCTGGAGGTACAGTCGGGGCCCTGAAGAAGGAACCCTTCTGGTTGGGGATGGGCTCTGCGTTCCTTAAGTGTTTCACAGCTTGCCTCAGGTTTTCCTTATGTTTTCGATCGGAAATCGAAGTTTAACTTATGGAAAAAAGGGGCCTCGTTCCTTAATTAGGGTTCCTTAGGTCAACGCCCCGACTGTAACGGAGGGAGGCCTTTCGGGGACGGGCTCGCCCGGGTCGGCGCTAACCTCGCTCAGCTTGAGCCATGGTGCGAGCCCGAGCCGGCCACGACAAAGCTCGCAAGCCTGGGTCAGCGGATGGGGGGGAGAGAGAGAGTCCTTCGGTAGCAAATCATGGGAGCCGGGTGTGCCCTCTCAGGTCCGTCTCTCGCGTCGATAAGCGTCGCTTAACGTGTGGGAGTCGATGGGGTAGCGTCGGTGAGCGTCGATCAGCGTTGATGTAGCGTCGATTAGCGTCGATGTAGCGTCGATTTAGCGTCGACTAGAGCGTCGATTCGCAAGAGCCGACAAGATGATGTGGGAGGCTCCCATGAGTTATCACCGAAGGAGGTAAGACGGAGTCAGTGCCATGTGGTTCCAAAGCCCGTGTCAGCCAGAGGGGATCGGAGTGGAAAAGTTGATCCCGGGTACTTCTGAGCGCCACTTGCGCCCCGATGCGTTGGCTCAGTCTAGGCCTCCCAGATGGGATCGGAGTAGATTGGGTCGGAGGATTGCGCCGCATCGCCGATGCATCGACGATGCAGCTCGATGCGGAGCCCGATTTTGTCCACGACGACATCGCCGATGTGTCGCCGACATCGGCGATGCGTCGCCGATGCATCGCCGATGCATTGGCGATGCGGCGCGATCCTCCGCCCCCTTCTACTCGGACCCCATCTAGACAGCCTCCACTCAGGCTCCACTGAGCCAATAGAGCTGTACTCGGTGGACCTCGACCACATGGCGCTGGGCGTGGACAGCGACGACGATCCCGCGCCGAGGAACTGGAATCCAAAGATGCGGCTAAAGGCCAGGGGACGCTAGGGAGGCGGAGCGTCAGATGAGATGGGCATGCCGACATTGTTTCAAGTGTGATAAGAAAAACTCGTTTGATGTTTTAATCACACTTGTTTGGTTTATTTATCACACTGGTCCAAGAGTTATCACATGTTTTCTCACACTTGTTCGGTTTTTGCATCACACCTGTTCGGTTTATCACACCTGTTCGTTCTATCACACTTGTCTGAGTCCTTCCGCCGACCCCCTGGGAGGTAAAGCGGGGTGAGTGCAATCCTGGGCTGCACGGGCTGCCCGAGGGCGGCGGAGCGCAGGGGAACGACGGAGAGCGGGGCGATGCCAAGAGGAGGGGCAGGGAGGCACGGGGGAGAGGGGAGCGTGGGCAGGATGCTGGGCAGGCCCTGACAGGCTGCTCGGCTCCGGGGCCCCTCGGGGGCTTCGGTGTTCGGGTGTGGTTTGGTGCATTGGAGTCCTGCTCGAGAGCTCCAAGAAGCGGGGGGAGGACGCGAAAGCGAAGGCGCAAGATGGGGAGGAGGAGGGGGAGGAGGAGGAGGAGGAGAAGGAGGAGGAGGAAGAGGAGGAGGAGAGTGGTGAAGGTGAGGGTGGAGAGAGCATGAACCTCGAGTGCACAACCCTGTTAACTGTTGCGTGGCGGCATTGCCAACGGCAGGAGAGAGAGAGAGAGAGAGAGCGATTCCTCTGAAGGGCGTCGCCCTCAGACGGCGGCTTCCCCTCACATTGCTCGCATGGCCACGCCTAGTCTTAAGTCGAGCATGTCCCTGCACAGGAGGAGCACTCAAAAAAATAAACCAAACATAGTCTGAGGACGATTTTTCTGCTATTCTTGATTATGTTTGAATATAGTTTCGCAACTTCTTCCGTCCAAAACCCGCCTGTAGGAGGACATGCCCGACCTAGACCTGGCCGGTCGGTTGGTTGGTGGGTTCTCTTGTCGGTTGGTGGGCTCACAACTCGGTGATCAGCTGATTGTCTAAACAAGCGGTGGGCAGTCGATTTGGGCTGCGTGCAGGCTGCTTGGCTGGTTGCGCGCGCGCGTAGTAATAGTTGAGGAATGGGGGCGCGCCTCCACTCCAAAGTATGAGGGTTCGCGGCTTCGGGAGCGCGCATCCCCAGCCATATATGCGGGCACTCGTGGCTTCGGGTCCAGGGTCGAATCTCCAGGAAACGACGGGGGGGCCGAAAAGCGCCCCCCGAATTTATTTCAGCACAGAACATGACAGTTTTTTTTCCGGGGGGGGGGCTCCAAGCGGGGGGCCCCAATCTCGCCTCCCACGATGGGGGGTCGCTGGGGAGAACGGCTCGTGCGAGTCCTAGCCCTGGTTCTTCTCATCGTCCTCGCGATGAGAAAAACAACAAAAAACAGTTTTTCTGTTCTAGACAGGGGGGGCGGTTTTTGGGGCACCCTCTGTGGGGTGGCTCAAAGGCCTCGGGAACGCAAGTTCTCGCAATGTGCAAAAAGGATTGCGGCCAAGGGGCCACAGGCCAGTTGCACTCTGTACACTTTATAAGGGGTTGTGGCTTTGGGTGCGCGATTATTCCCCGCATCCAAGTCGGGTTCGTGTTCCCCTCATTCAAACTGGGGTTCTTGTTTTCTCTGCACCCCCTTCCCGCGCAGGATCTCCTCCTCCTCCTCCTCCTCCTCCTTCTCCTCCTCCTCCTCCTCCCTTTTCTTCCTTCTTCCGCACTCACGCACTCACCATCACTCACTCACCCACTTGTCATCATCGTTCACTTACGCACTCCCATTCACTCATCACCATCATCAAAATCGTCATCACCACCATCATCAGTATCGTTATCGTCATCGTCATCGTCGTCATCATCATCATCAGCATCAGCATCAGCATCAGCATCAGCATCATCATCATCATCATCATCATCATCATCATCATCATCATCATCATCATCATCATCGTCATCGTCATCGTCATCGTCATCGTCATCGTCAGCAGCATCAGCATCATCAACATCGTTACCACCATCATCGCGTTCACAATCTCAACAAGATCACCATTCCACCGCAGTCACCACCACTAGACTCACATTACCATTGTCATCGAACACACAAACACTCATCTCACAGAAGTCTCGAGCGGGAGCCTCGTCTGTGAATGAATCGCGAGGAAGTCTCAAGCGGAAGCCCGTCATTGTGGGGCCCGCATTTCATATTGTAGTGGCTTCCGGCCAGTGCCGCCGATCCGGGGCGCTCCGGGTGCCTGTGGAAATGAACGACGACGAGGAAGATGAATACGTCGACGACGACGACGAGAGCGACGACGACAACGACCACGACGACGACGAGGACGACGGCGATGACGACGACGACGACGACGCGAGCGACGACGACGACGACGACAACGATGACGCGAGCGACGACGACGACGACGACGACGACGACGACGACGACGACGACGACGACGACGACGACGACGACGACGACGACGACGACGACGACGACGACGACGACGACGCGACGACAACGACGACGACGACGACGACGGGGGGGGAGCTGGGTTGCAGGGGGGGGGGTCTGCTCTGCAGGGGGGGTCCGCTCGGCAGAGGGAGGGGCTGCAGGGGAGAGGGGGGGTCCGCTCTGCAGGGGGGGGGGGGCTGCAGGAGGGGGGGTCTGCTCTGCAGGGGGGGGGGGGGCAGGGGGAGGGGGGGGGGGGTCCGCTCTGCAGGGGAGCGGGGCTGCACGGGGGGGTCCGCTCTGCAGGGGGGGAGGGGGGGGGGCTGGGCTGCAGGGGGGGGGGGTCCGCTCTGCAGGAGAAGGGGTGCAGGAGGGGGGGTCCTCTGCAGGGGGGGGTGGGGGAGGGGGGGGGTCCGCTCTGTAAGGGGGGGGGGCTGCAGGGGGGAGGTCCGCTCGCAGGGGGGGTCTGCTCTGGCAGGGAGGGGGTGCAGGGGAGGGGGGGGTCCGCTCTGCAGGGGAGGGGCTGCAGAGGGGGGGGGGTCCGCTCTGCAGGGGGGGGGGGGGGGGGGCTGCAGGAGGGCGGGGGGGGGTGCGCTCTGCATAGGGGGGGGGGTCCGCTCTGGAGGGGGGGGGGCGAAGCATTGAATTAGGTCGGAAATTAGGTAGGAAATGAGGTCCCCCCGCAGAGCGAAGCTTGAGCGAGCGCAAGCCCACGCTCTCAGAAACTCACACGCCGCAAGCGGAAGCCCGTCATTGTGGGGCCCGCATTTCGTATTTACAATCCGAGCGGGTCCTCCCATTCTTGTAGCTGTCATCAATTTCGGGCTCTTCAGGCCTGAATATGGAGGAAGTCTCGAGCGGGAGCCTCGTCTGTGAGTGAATCGCGGGGAATGTTCAATCGGAAGCCCCCCCCGTTTAGGGCCCGCATTTGACGTTGGTAATCCGAGCGGGTCCTCGCATTCTTGTAGTAGTCGTTGTTTCTGGGTTCCTCCGGCCTGGATATGGAGGAAGTCTCGAGCGGGAGCCTCGTCGGTGAGCGAATCGCGAGGAAGTTTTCAACTTGAGACCCTTCTTATGGGGTCCAGACTTGTTGTTGGTAATCCGAGAGGGCCATTGTTTTTTCGTAACTGTCGTCACTTTGGGGCTCCTCATGCTTGGATATGGAGGAGCTTTCGAGCGGGAGCTTCGTCCGTGAGTGAATGGCGAGGACGTCTTCAGCTGGAGCCCCTTCCCTATGGGGCCCAGACTTTCTGTTGGCAAGCCGGGCAGGGCATCGGAACTTTGTCACTTTCGTCACTCATGGGCATGTCAAGCCTGGACATGGAAGACGCCTCGAGCGAGTGAATCACGATGACGTCTCAAGCGAAAACCCCCTGCTGGCGGCTACGGTGAATCGCCAGAAGGGTGCTGCGAGCCCTCGCGGGCCAATCTGAGGACCCCTGAGAACGCATGGAAGTTGTGTTCGATGTCGTGCAAGAGGAGCTGAAGAAAACATTGGGGCTCGTGCGGGAGCAGCGGCCCACCATCGTCAGTGGAGTGTTTTTTCAGCCAGGCAACGAGCGGGAACACGAGGAGTTCGCGTCAGGCCAGCTCTTTCGCCCCCGCTGCCTACCGCAGGGTATCTGGATGCCGGTGCACGGCTTTGAGGAATCCCCGATTTACCACGGGGTCGCCGAGCTGCTGGCACAGGGCGCCGGAGGCGCTGACGACGCTGGCGATGCCGAGGCGCGGGCGAGGAGTTTACTCATGTCCAGGCCCAGCGAGCAGCACTCACGAGGCAGCGCTCGGGGCCGCACGCCGCGCGCCTCTCGGGGTTCACCACGACGCACGCGCCCCGCCCGGCCCCCGCGCCGTCGCAGGGGGCAGGCGCCGCGCAAGGGCGCCGCCGTCGACTTCGCCTGGGACGTGGGCGCTGCCCGCGCGGGCATGTCGGGCGAGCAGCGGTGGCTGCGCCCCAACGCCGCGTTCTCCCGCGGCGCGCGCGAGAGAGCTGCTGGAGCCCGGGCCGCGGGCGCCCCCGCGGAGGGCGCGCGGGGAGCTCGACGAGCGAGCGGGGAGCCCCGGGGCAGAGGCGGAGCAGCTCGCGGAACAGCGGGGTCTCGCGCTGCCTCCCGCGCGGGCGCGGCCGCGACCTGCTCGAACGGCTCGAACCGACGGCGGTGTGAACCCAGCGGCCCGCGGGCGGTCCAGGGCTGCCCCGGCAGCCTCGCGCTCTGGCCATCGGAGAACGTGGCCCTGCCGGCCGCGGCGGCGACGGCACCGAAGAAACTCGGCGTGCGCGCCCTGGCTGGGCGGAAGCGGATGTGCGCGAGGACGAAAGGCGGGGCGGGGTAAGGAGACGGAGAGGGGGAGAGAGAGAGAGAGAGAGAGGGAAAGAGATAGAGAGTGAGATATAGAGAGAGAGAGAGAGAGAAAACAACAAACATTGAAAACAATGCAGAGAGACAACAATCTGTGTATGGAGAGACAGAGAGAGAGAGAGAGAGAGAGAAAAAGAGAGAGGAAAAAGAGAGAGAGAGAGAGGGAGAGAGACAGAGAAAGAGAGAACACATAAACACAGAAAGGGAGAGAGAGAGAGAGA